CTAATAGGCTACTAATCTCCGATACACGAGACTAGAATTCCATGATGAATTATTTTATTTTATTTTACTTTTATTTTTTTGATCTGCCATGATGAATTATCTTTCTTCCACCATTCAACCAAAAAAAAATTAAGGCCTTGTTCGGTTTGTGCTTCTCAAAAAGTTTTAAAAAAAAATTTTTACAAATAAATTTTTAAAAGTAATCAAATCAAACAAATTTTCTCAAAAAAAATTTTTAAAACTTATTTGGTTTACAAATTTTCCAAACAAATATCTCTCTCATACACATCAAATCAATCACTTTTTTCAAAACTTTCTCTCAAAATAATTTTTCAAAACAAATTTTCGTACTTTTTATCTCAAAACATGTTTCTCAAATACAAACCAAACAAGGCCTAAGTTTTCTGAATTAAATTTTTTAAAAATTAATTTTTTTATTTTTCATATTTTTTTTTAATTTTTAGTGAATATTTTTAAAATTTTAAGCATTTTTTTTTACTTTTTAAATTCATCTTAATTTTTTTAATAATAAAATTCATACAAATATCTCAATTTAAAAAGAATAAAAGTGATTCATTTCTATAATTAAAAAGTCCAAATATATAGATTCATCAGAGGATAAATTAATATTGAATAATAATTAAAGATGACCTTTACGTAATTAACCTTATAAAAAAAACAAATGAAATATGTAATATTACTTACATATATATATATATATATTTCTAAAGTTTAGATAAAAACACTTCCTAAAAGATCATATTTATTTTATAACTGAATTTTATTAATGTTTTAAAATCAAATAATTATACAAAGTAATCCAAATAATTTGATTACCCTCCAAGACCAAAAAATAAATAAATTAATAACTCATATTTATTGGGTTGAGTGCGTAGAATTGGGATTTAAACATTTTTTAGAATTGGGTAGGAAACACGAGTTGGTTAGGCCCGATGTTAGGCTGGGCCAGGCTTAGAATGACACATATATTCTTATCATAAATTTTCAATTCGGCTCAAACCCAACCTAACCCAACCCGATATTTATCCACTCCAAATTACTTGTCCACCATCTCTATAATTATCACCCTAAAACATACATAACCTTCTTTTTTTTGTTATATATATAACTCGGCATCTGGCCCATTGAATCGATTAATTTGAAAGACCAATCCCGTCCACTGGTAAGGTCCCAATTAAAACTAGGACAAGTCCTATATGGACTGACCTAAAATATTATTTGTACTTAAGAGGTTTTGAACTTGAAACCTTAAAAAAAATACACCCTTAAATTCCAAGTTTTGACCACTATGCCAACCCTTAAAGTTAAAACATTACATAGCCTTGCCCTTGCTAAAGGTTTCCATGATTTGATGTTGTCTTGGGAAGTAGTTGTATAGAATAGAAAGATGACTTTGTATTTGTATTATCTATTTGAATTGCTATATTATGCATTACATTGGCCATTAGGATTTGCACCCTTGGTCAAATTTTTAGATATTTTAGAGTGAGATATGTTTAGAGAAAATTTTAAAAATAGTTAGAGACCTAAAAATTGTTAAAAATTTTAAACAATATTCACATCGTGTGAGCCTCGTATAGTGCAAATCTCACACTTACATAAATATTATGTATATTATTTAATATTTTTGTATAAATTCCTAACATCGCTCCAAAGCTTTTAGGTTGGAGACTGAACTATGGAGTTTGTACAGAGGCCTAACTTGCATTGTTATAGAAAAGGAACTAACTAATGAAGTTGTGAGTAAGATTGCAAATGAACCGAATTGTTCATGAACCAGCTCGGCTAGGCTTGATTCGGTTCATTTAGTAAACAGGCCGAGATCAAACTCGCATAAGTTCAGCTCGTCAAGCTTGATTATAATTATTTATATATTAAATAATATAAATAATATTTTTTATTTAAATAATATAAATAGTATTAAAAAAAATTATCGAGCCGACCTTGAGTTTCATTATTATTAACGAGCCGAGCCAGCCGAGCTCGAGCTCAATAAACGAGCTCGATAAGTAAACGAGTCGAGCTTGAGATCAGTAAAATACGACTTAGTTCGGTTCATTTGCAGCCTTAGTTGTGAGAATAGGATAGGTCCATGTTACAGACCTAAGCTTATTACACTCAGACCCACTAATATCTGTCCTTGTACTAATTCACCCTAAGAACTATGCTCCAATTTTGTTCAATAACTAATGTCCAACATTGAAGATGCACTCTCAGAAGCAGTGATGGAGGTTGGAGAAAAAAAAAAAAAAAAGAAAGAAAAGAAAAGCCGTAGCCGTAAAATTTGAAAAATTAAAAGAAACATAATTGTTAAGGTAGTATTTGGTAACGTTTACATCTTTTGTTTATGTTTATAAAAATTTTATAAATTGATTTTTGTTTATTTTTAGAAAAACATAAATTATAAACGCGTTTGGTTTGAACAAAATGTTTAAAAAAATTTTAAAAATATAAACTAAAAAATATGTTTGTTTAAGCCTAAAATATTTATATTTATTTTTATTATTTCTGACAATGGGATCACACACATTATAATTGAAAAAACATTAATTAAAAAATTAATTGAAAAAAATATTAATGGAAAAAAAATTAATTGAAAAAAAATTAATTGAAAAATAATTGAAAAAAAATAATTGGGAAAAAAATATTTGAAAAAAATCTAATTGAAACAAAAGGATTAATTGAAGAAAAAAATTAATTAAAAAAATTATTTGAAAAAAATAATTGAAAAAAAATTATTTGAAAAACAATTAATCGAAAAAAAATATTTGAAAAAAAAATGAAAAACATTAATTAAAAAAATAATTGAAAAAAAATTTAATTGGGGAAAAAAGATAATTGAAAAAAAAAATTAATTAAAAAAAGATTAATTGAAAAAAATTTATTTGAAAAAAAATTATTTGAAAAAAAAATTATTTGAAAATAAATATTTGGAAAAAAAAAATTTGAAAAAAAAATTGAAAATAAATTATTTGAAAAAAAGTTAATTGAAAAAATAACTGAAAACGTAAACTCATTTTTTGAGTTTACGTTTTTTTCCTCAAATTTATAAACTGAGACAACCATTTATAAACTAAAAAAATTATCAAACAAATTTTTATGACAGTTTTTTAAACTTTTATAAATATAAACTGAAAACGGAATGGTTACCAAACATGCCCTGGTTAATCCCTTAAAAAAAAAATTAATTGATGATCTAAAAAGTGGGTTATGTTCTACTAGTTATGTGAGGTAGGCGAATAAAAACAACAAATTAATATTATTATATAAACAAGTGTTTGGATTACTAAACAATAAAGTTAAGATGGGGGACATCAATTATTGGGTTTATTTCTAACACCATTCCTTAAGATCTAGCTCTTGTTATCAACTTTTCTAGATAAACACAAAAAGACCAAAATTAAAGGAATCCTAAATCAAAGTATGATTATATTTTCTTTATATCGACAAGAAGGACGGACCAAAAAGAAGCCTTCATTGTTCAAAAGAACAAAAGACATCCCACGTGTAATTATTATGCAAAACCAAAAAATCAAAAGAGCAAAAAAAAGAAAAAAAAGCAAAGCATGGGAAGGCCTTGAAATAAGGCCTCCTTGTTCCTATGTCCCCTAAGTCTTTGACATGATATTCAAGAAAATTTTGCATCCACAAATGACCAAGCCAATCAATCCCTACCTTATAGTACTTAATTAATAGGATAAATTACATTTTTTTACCCTATAATTTTTACCTGAATTTCATTTTGATCACTTATTTTTAAGTGTAATAATTAAATCCTTAAATTTTAACCCAATTACAATGTAATCCTCTTGTCACGCCTACCACATGAGCACATTACCATCACATTTTGTCCATTTTTTTTAACAATGAGTTGACGAAAGAATTATATTGCAATAACGTGTAATTTATTTGAATATAAGGGTGAACTAAGGTTTAATTATAAGGGTGAAATGTATAATTTACCCTACTTACTACTTACCCTCAAAATACTATGATGCATGGTTCATTTCACTTTGCAGTGTTACGTAGATAGAAAAATTAATTACTTTGTTTGGTTTTGAGTTATTAAAAATAATTTAAGAAATTTTAATTTGTATTTTTTATTTGGTAAACTTTTTAAATATTTTAATCATTTAAAAAAAAAACTTTTTAAATGCACTTAATTTAAATACACTTAAAAGATACAAAATTTATGAAAAATATTTTAAAAAATTCACTAAACAATACATATATAAACAAAAATGCAGTATAATTTAGTATTTTTTTTATTTATTAATTTTTTGTCGATTTTTTTTACAAATATTCTACTTTGTAAGTGTATCAAGAAAGAAAAAAAAAACAAATTTAATTAAAATATTTACTAAATTTACTAAAAACAAAATAAGACTTGAAAATTTAAAAAATAAAATATTTACTAAATTTACTAAAAACAAAATAAGACTTGAAAATTTAAAAAATATATGTATATATATATTAACTCAAAACCAAGCAGAATAAGTTTTCGTTTGGGAAGAGCTAAAATAGCCTAACTTTTTGGCTACTTTAGCCTTGTTTGGTTTTTGTATTTGACTTTTTTGACTTTTACGAAAAAAAAGTATAATGATTATAGTTTAGATGTGACATTTTATCTTATTGACTTGTGTAGCTAATTTTGTCTTGTTTGCATTTTTAGCCAAAAGACCAAACCAAACCAAACATAGCTTGTATAATTCTAATTTATTTTAGAACATTTTAAAACATGCCAAAATAAATTTAAACCACACCCTAATCTTTGGTGTGCACCGACTGATCAAAGTCATAATTTAATATGCTTCTGATCAAAAGCCAGCTCATGAACCTGATGATATGCACCAAGTAATCCAATGACAAACTGTACTTTTGGAACTTCATTAATAAAAGGAAAATATAAACATGTATGTATATGATTAATAATTAATCCCTTAATAAATAATAATAATAATAATAATATACCCACAAAATCATTTCTTCTTTTTTTTATCCTTGCCATTACAGAACAATGAACCAAACCCAAACAAACTTGCAGTCCCTTTAGCTATGCAATTATGTGGAATATTCAAAACAGGGCTAATTCGGACTCCATTACCGTATGCTCTGCAATTCTTCTTCAATGGCGGCTTTTTCGACGAATTATGAGGATTATATTTTGTGTACAGAGAAGAAGATGATGATGACCTCGAATATGAAATCGTTGGTTGTTGTTGTTGCTGTTGTTGTTGTTGTTGTTTTACAGAGTTCTGCTTCTGAATTTGCTTTGGATTTGGTGCCGAACCAGTCGAATTGCTTCTGGATAAGAATTGTAATGATCGAATCAAGCTTTTACTTCGACCACTTTCGCAATTCAGACTATTGCTTCGTCTGAACTGCCAGAAAGATCTCGAGCTTGGCTTTAATTCCTCTGCATCGTCGAAATCGCTGAATATGAACTCTTTCAGTCTCTTTTTCTTGGTTTCTTCTCCAACATTTTGATTACCAGTTTTCTCTGGAGACAGAATTGAATTGCTCTGTTGAACTTGTTTCTTGATCTGAATTGGGTTGATTTTGCCATTGGAGAAGAGCTCGTCTGCGGAGGGAAGTTCTTGAGGGAAGCTTTTGCTGATGCAGAAATGGAAATCGAAATTGGGATCTAGAAGAGAGGCGTCAGATCGGACGGTGTCTGATTGGTTGTTGAGATCGTGAGAGAATGAGATTCTTGGGCTGGCACCTAAACTGAGTATCTCTGAGCACACATCAACTGCCATTATTGATTTCAAATAATATCTCAAAACAATGACAAATTGCTGAAGGAAGAGAGAATGTGTAGAGCTCAAAAACCCAGTATTGGATTTTTAATTGGAGTCAAAAAAGAGAAAGTGAAAGAGAGATATGTAATTGGGTTGTGGGAATGAGAGTCAGCTTTTGCTTTTATGGAGAATTTGGAAGGTTCAGAGTATGTTGGTGATGCATGCTCTGTTTTTGCTCTGTTTCAGTGAAGCAGAGTATCATTTGGTACTTAACTTACCACAAAAAAAGAAAGGAAAAAGACAGAGAGAGAGGGAGGGAGAGAGAGTGAGAGAGAGAGATAAGAGAGAAAATGAGTGAAAGTAACAGAAAATTTGGGCACCGAAAGGCTATGAAAGGATGTCATATATAGGGGTTTCCAATGAAACTTTTGCTTTTTAGAGAGAGAGAGAGAGTTTGAAGCTCTTGCAATGCTGATTTGAAGAATGGCCAAGTCTAGATAAATGAATATGGAGCATCTAAGAGAACAATTATTGGAACATTGGTATATAGTAGGTGTGTATAATGAAGTTTTCACTGCTGATATAAAAGAAGATGATGCATAGGTGGACCTAATCAATGTTGGATTATTACTTAATTTCAACCCAAATTAAGTGGTCTACTGTGTTGGAGAAAATTCATAACAAAATGATTTCTAAATAAAATTTTTATACAATAATTTGCACCAGAAATATGTGACTGTAACATTTTTTAAATAATAAGTTATTAGATCTTTTGATTTGAAATGTTGCATTAGTTTGTCTTTATTTTGGCGATTTAAATAATTTATTTTATAATATCAGTATAAAAATTATTCAAAAAAAAAATTAAACTTATTTTATTATTATAATCACATAATTTAATTTTTTTTTTTACTTTAAATATCTAATCATACATTTCCGTCATTTGTTGTCATTGCTGTTTTAGCATTTTTTTAGGTTAGGTTTGTCTCAAGTCCATTTTGTAGATTAGACAGTATATTGTCAAGTCTGTGGAGTTCATCACAGGTCTAGTTTCGATAATCTGAACTATTCAATATGTAGAACTCATACTTTATCCTTGCAAAATCATATTGATTAAATATTGATAACTACTTGATCAGATAAGATTTTTGTCAATAATTTATTTTAAAAATTATATTTACAATAAATAGAAATCTGATCCGATCAAGTAACTATCGATATCTGATCAACCTGATTTTTTATAGTAATAACGTATTCGATGAGTTCTACACATCCAACGATTCGAATATCAAAATAGAATCTATGATGAATTTTTCTGACCCAATAACACGCTCCAATCAAATCCCAAACCAAGCCTGACTTTTTTTTTTTTCCTTCTCGTTATGATGTCACTTTCTTTCTTCTTTTCTTTACCATTATTAACATAGGAAAGGAAATATATATATATAAAATGCATACATCACTTAAGATGAAGTTTTCGTTTGGAAAGAGTTCATTTGGGCTCTTTTGATTCTTTGAGCCACAAAAGACAGAATAGGCTATTTAAGTCACAACAGACAAAACATCACATCCAACCCATAATCATTACACTCTTCTTTCACAAAAAAAGTCAAAAAAGTCAAAAAGTCAAAAAGTCCTTCCCAAACCAAGCTTTTGAGCCCAAGCACAAATAGCTAAAAAAGTCAAAAAGCCAAAAAGCCAACCCACTCCCCAAACGGTGGCTTTGTGTAATGATTAGACTATTGCAGGGAAAATTATGCAGCACACCCTTTAGAGTATGTATCATATATATTTTATAATTAAAAAAAATAGCATAATTACATACTATCTAAGTCATAACTATAAAAAAAAATTAAAAAGTCATAACCAAACACTATGAGTCATAATTAAAATATTTTCATAATTAAACAAGAAAATTGATCATAACTAAAAAAAAAATAACATAATTAAGAATGCATATGATACACCCCTTTTAAGGGGAGGGGGGTATGTACTAGAATTTCCCGACTATTGTATACTCTAATCCCTTACATGCATATGGGACTTTTAGGTAGTGTTTAATTTATTAAAATGAAGGTAGATTGGAATAAAATGTTCATTTATTATTTTTTTTTAGTAAATAATCATTTCATTTCAATGATAAAATGAAGGCAATCAAATGTAATAATAAACATGTTAATAAAATAATCATTATATTCCACATCATTCTAATAAATCAAACAGCAACAACACTATAAATCCAGACTTATAAACCTAGAATTTATCTCAAAAAAAAAAAAAGGTTCAAATTCATTTTACTCTTGAATCCCACATTTTATCAATTTAGTATTCACCAATCAACACATTAAGAATAAATTATAAATTGGTAAGAGTGACTTCATATCATTTTTAATCAAACAAAGCAATAAAAGTGAAACTTTTATAACACGCCTAAAAAAAAAGGTGTATCCATATTCCAAGTTATACATTTTATGATTTTTTTTTTTTTTGTTATCGTCTATTATAGTGTTGCTTACATCATACTTATTAATTATAACTTGATTATAATCTATTGTAGTTATTATTTTGATTATGATCAAAAAAGTATTTAATTATGCTTCAAGTAATGTTTAATTAAGACTCATTATGTTGATTATAATTAAGTGAAATGATTTATCTATTTAATTTGTTGTAATTCGAATTGCTTGAATTTGTGCTGGTTGGATGACCGATTTCACCTCTGTCTATTGTGGTTGTCACCCTGTCATCCGGACGATTGACATCAACAAATTTAAATAATTTGAACGAAACCAAATTCAATAAATACAACGTTGCTCTATAAGGCCTCGTTTGGGAATAGGCTAATTTAGTAATTTTTTTAACTATTTGGCTAAAATATGAGCTAAAAAAACTAATATGTTTGGTATGACCTTTTGGCTTTTTACAAAAGAGTAATGCTAGACACCCCAAATATTCTACCAAAAGTTTTACCAAATGTCTCACATGGGTGTGGGACCCACACAATGTGGGTCCCATGTGGGTCCCACATCCATGCGAGACATTTGGTAAAATTTTTGGTAGAATTTTTGGGACCTCTAGCATTTTTGTTTACAAAAAGATGTGCAAAAAGTGGAGAGAAAAGAGAATCTTTAACTTTTTGGTATGAGTTGTTGACTTTTTACCTAATTTAATAATTTTTTGACTTTTTAATTAAAAAAAAATTCCCAAACGAAGCCTAAATCATAACTTATGATTTTTACTTTTAATTATGACTTCACATAATTATGATCATAATAGCTTAATTATACACCAAGTGAAGGGATATTGCAGTTGCAAAAAATAGTACACACTATGTATATCCGTTAAACCAAATATATACATTATAACGGATTTGTTACACAAAATATTTTTTTAAATAAAAAAGTAAAAAACATATCGAGGGGTTTGAAGATGCATACCACGTGGACTGGGCAAGGGTGTGGAAAGGTTCTGTACGCGTCGTCGCTGGCATTATGATCAAAATTGAGGGGCAAAACATGTTACTTTGACCACTCAATCACATTGGGTCTGACACATTTGGCATCTCCTCAGTTTCCCCCGAAAAGAATTTTAAGCTCTGCACAAATAATAAGAAGGACCCGGTCGATAGAGTGGTGAAAAAGTGATGGTAGATTACAAGTTAACAGGTTATGTTTATAATTATGAATATAAGTTATGAATTTATTTGGTGTAGTTATGGGATTATAAATTTAAATAGTAGAGTAATATTTAATTAATAAGTTGTAAAATAACTTTTTATTGTGTAATTATCTATTTTGCCCTTATATGATATAAAAATAATTATTTTATTATTTTTTCAGTTTTAATTTTAAAAAAATTATTTCATTAATAAAAGTTAATATACTTAGTATTACAAAAGTTAATATAATTAGTATCAATTAATAATAAAATTAATAATAGTATCAATTACTATAATTTTTTCATTTTTTCATTACAAATTAATTAGTGTCAATTAATGGCTTAATTACTATCAATTAATACTAAAATCAATAATAGTAAAAAGGGACATGCACCAATAAATCCCAAACTCTTATCTTTTGACCCATTTGGTCCTATTTTTAATCTTATAATCTAATTAGTCCTACTCTAGTGTTAATGACAACATTACGCGTGTTTGACTCTGTTTACCACCTTCGAGTACGGGTAATTGAGGAATACTCCAATGTGGATTTTACTGAAATGCCCAAAGTTCTTAATTTGTTAATGTTTGTTCTCCCTCCAAGCATATCGGAAACGAAGAGACGTGGATGGAAATTTGCACAGTACGCCGATGTTAATGGCGTAATGTTAGGCGTTGCAGTTGAAGATTCTTTATTGGCAATGTGAAATCCTTGTGGATTGGGATAATAGAATAGGAAATTGCATTTTACTCGAAACCCTAACGAATACGCAACCAAATCCCCTGTTCATACGTCGATACCAGCGAAGTGGGTGGTTGTGACACTGACGTGCTTTGGAGCAGCGTTCGGAAAACCTTCGTAATCCGGTGGAAGTGACTGTAGTTGGAAATAATGACTCCAGGTATGTTAATCGTTGCTTTCGTTAGTGTTTGTGTGGTTGGGTTTTGCGCAAAATGTGATGTGTGTGTTATCTGGCAAACTGCAGAGTATTGTGCGTTTGATATAGAGTTGTTAGTATGGAGGATTTTGTGAAATGCATGCTTGTTGTATAGAGTAGTTTGTCAATGTTGTTGGGACGTTATGGGTTCTTAGTTTGTTGTGTTCTGCTGGTTGTGTGCTCATGTTAGTTTGTTCAATGTAAATTTGATGTTAATGAAATTTTGTAATCAGGTTTGTCCTGGATTTTTGCTATTTTTTTTGGTGGTGCATATGGTCCTGCATTTGTGGGGGTATTTTGAATGGGCTTGTGGGTTTTTTACATTGATCGAGATAGTCGCATATTTCATATGGGGGGTCATGCGTTGTGGGGGTTTTCCACTGGTGTGTGATTAGTCGTCATAGGTTGATGAAGTGTGTTAC